GGGCGGGCGGGCGGCGGCCCTGGGGCGAGTGCGCGGGCCGCCGGTGCGGGCCCGGCAGTGTCTGCAACGTGAGAAACGACTGCGGCAAATTCCCAGGCCCGCGATGTGTGCGGGGAACCCAGTTCCTCCCGCTCCCTCCCGGAGCTGGAGCAGGCCCAGAAAGCTTCCCCGCGGCCGGGAGTTGGGGGCTGGAATTGGGGCTGGAGAAACTTTACAGAGTCTGTGCCCCAGCCCGGTCCATCTACGTCCCACAAAAGAATGAGAAAAGTCAGAGGGAGGCGAACCACAAAAACTGCCTTGCAAGCAATGTCCGGCACAATCAGCAACTCCCACTGGACTCCCGGGAGCTGGCGAGCATTCTTAACCCCTTCCGACGGAAGCGCCCGCCAGATGCGCGTCAAGCTCGGCCCGTTGTCTCTCTGGCTGGAAATGGGGGTGGAAAAATCCCTCAGGCCTGAGGTTTACTCAAAACCGCTTTTTCAGCCTCTTTGCCAGCTGTTAGCCCGTATTTGAGCATTTTTATCTGTAACCCAGAACTAAGAATATCAAGTCTTTTGGATGCACGCACATCCTTTAGAGCTCACCCTCCGCCACACCTTGAAGGAATTTTAATAGCTTTGGACCGCTGCCCGCAGATACTGGGGAGAACTGAAGAACTTTACCTGTTGAGGCTGGCTAGTGATGGAGAATGGCCCTCCTGCGCACTTCCACTTTTCCCATTTACTGTCGCATTCTATTGAGGAACCTCAGAACCAGCAAGCCAAGGAAATTTCCTCTTCTAGGAAATGCAGCTCATAAAAATATTTAGATCCGGAAGGCTCAGATGAGATTTACTAAAAAAGACCCTAGTTTTAAATCTGTTGGGCTTCTGGAACTGTCTTAATGCTTCGAAAGGGAACCAACCGAGCCAATAACCTTTGTTCTCATCAACACTAGCCAAAAGAAGGGGTGGGACCCACAAGGGAGTGGAGGCAGAGAAACTTAGTCAAATGCCAGAGGTTTGAAAAAACAACAAAAAAATAAAAGCACTCTAGCGATGCTAGCTGCTGCTCATCGTGGTTATTGCCTTGAGGCTTGCCTTTCTCCAATTATGTGTACTCGTGGAAGTTTCAAATAGTTGACTTGGAAGCGGTGTTGTCCAGGGTGGGAGAAGTGCTCATGAAGTTATGGTTTTAGAAAATATGTAGGAAATGTTTTTAATAAAATTAGGGGATTACACCAGGCACATGGAGCATACCTTTAAACTCAGCACTCAGAGACAGAGGCAGGCAGATCTCTCTGAGATAGAGGCCAGCCTGGTCTACATAGTGAGTTCCAGGCCATCTGGGGCTACAGGGAGACCCTGTCTCAAAAAATAAACAAAACGGGTCTGGAGAGAGGGCTCAGAGCTTAAGAACACTAGCTGTTCTTGAAGAGGACCTGGGTTCAGTTCCCCCGCATCACATGGTGGCTAACACACTTCCGTAATTCCAGTTCCAGGGGAATCCAACGCCCTCTTCTGACCTTCGCTGGCATTGCATGGCACAGGTGCTCTTAAACGCAAGCAATACACACATAAAATTTTAAAAAATATATTTTACGCTTTTAATTCCAGCACTCAGGAGACAGGCGGATCTCTGTTAATTCCAGGCCTGCCTGGTCTACAAAGGGAGTTCCAGACCACGTAATTCCAGTTCCAGGGGAATCCAACGCCCTCTTCTGACCTTCGCTGGCATTGCATGGCACAGGTGCTCTTAAACGCAAGCAATACACACATAAAATTTTAAAAAATATATTTTACGCTTTTAATTCCAGCACTCAGGAGACAGGCGGATCTCTGTTAATTCCAGGCCTGCCTGGTCTACAAAGGGAGTTCCAGACCAGCTAAAGCTACAGGAAAATTCTGCCTCAAAATCTGTGCAGGCAGATGTGCCCTGAGTCCTCAGAGTCCTCCTTCAACTACACAGTCTAAAAGTCTTGAGACCCTTAGGGAAGAGACGGTCAGTTAATCTTGAGGATGAAGGGATATATTTTATAACCATATGGGAGCTTGAGCAGGGCAGAGTTCCTGTCCTGAATTCAGGATTGAAACAAGGCGTCCAGCAGCACCTCTCCTTCCCTGCTTCTCACCTACCCATGGACACCAAAATATATAGATCCTCAAGTCCTGTACATGGCATAGGATTGATATACAGGCAATGCATATCCTCCTCAATACTATATTTTTGCTTGAGTGTGTGTGTGTGTGTGTGTATGGTATGAATGTGCATGTTCATGTTGCTTTTGTATGTGTGTGCACATCTAGGTGGAAGCCGGAGGTTGACGTCAAGCATCTTCCTCTATTGCTCTCTGTGACTTTGGTTTGTTTTTTGAGGCAGATTCTGTCACTGAACCTAAAACTCACCGAGTGATCTAGGCTGGCTGGCCAGTGAACTCCAGGAATCCACCTGTCTCTGCCTCCCTAGCACTGGGGTTCAGATGCAAGCCCACAGTGCTGGCTTCATACATGGGTGCTAATACTTGCACATCCTTTCCAAACAGAGCCCTCTCCCTAGCCCCTCCTAGAATCCCCTCATAGGGTGTACGTGCTGTGTGAATGTTGTCACACTGTATTAACTCAAAAAGACCAAAAAAAAAAAAAAATCTGTAGAAAACTGTCTATGCAGTTGTAAAACCTAAAGCTTACCTATTTTGAAGTATTCAGAGGAAGAAACTGGAAGGAAATTCACCAGGTGTTAGTGAGTGTTGGGATCTTGAGGATTTTGTTTTGTTTTATTTACTTTCTGTTCCTTATTTTCTACAAACTCAAAAGCTTAGCATCCAGGGCTTTTCTGTCACCTCTAAGCATCCAGTGTCACAGTTTCTCTCTGCCCACCACTGCAGTCAAATAGACACAATGCACAGAGCCAACTACTGGACTCTCGGGAAGGATTTTCAGAGGTTTTCCCTTGGGTGTTTTTTAGACTCTCCATATAAAACTTGGTCTTTATGTTATCCATAAGTTTGCAAATAGTTTGGTGCAAGGAAAAGAGGAAACAGGTCGATTCCAGGTCAACGTAAATGTCAAAGAATCAGTAGGTCCACCCCGTAGACAAATCTCATTACTGGGAAACCCCTACGTTAAAATTTCACATAGCTGTTTCTTTCTTCACCTTATCTACAGAGTGTTGGCAATGTATAAGGTGTAAGTTAGAAGACAGTGGACGCTGGAAGTGGCCCAAAACAAGAAAGCAAGTGTGTCCATAGTTGGAGGCTTAGGAGAGTGGGGTAAAGTTTTAAAATTGAGTCAGCAATAAGACCCAGAATTATCCTTGATGACCTACGCATGTGCTCCACACCGCCCCCCCCCGCCCCCGTCCCCCCAAGCTCCAGAGCAACTAGTTTCTCAAACATGCCTTCCATGTTCTTTCTGAATATTCCTTTTCCTCCCGACAAAAGACAAAACTGAGACGCTAAATGTGGTGGTTCAAAACCCTCTTAAGACTCAGTTTCAGCTGGGTGAGGTGGCAAAGGCCCAGCACTCCGGAGGCAGAAGCAGGAGGATTTCTGTGAGATAAAGGCCAGCCTGGTCTATTAAGTTCCAGGTCAGCTGGGACTACAGGGAGACCCTTTATTTATTTTCTTTCTCTTTCTTTCTTTCTTTCTTTCTTTCTTTCTTTCTTTCTTTCTTTCTTTCTTTCTTTCTTTCTTT